AAAACCTCCGCCTCCACAGACGCCAGCTGCTCGGAAGTCAGATCCTCCTCTTTAATGGGGCTCTCGTCAGGTGCCGGCGGGTGGCGCCGAGCGTAGATCTCACGGCGCGCTTTACGAGAGCCTCGCGCAGCTTCATCACCGTCGCCCACGCCATACCCTTGTACCCCTTCGGCAGTTTCTGGCCCACCCTGGTACGCCGGATGCTGAACCCATTCCGCTTGCGGAAGGAACCGTTGGTACCAGGAGTTGAATTTTACCTTGAAAGCCAGCGCCTCCTCCGGTTTCGCGTTCGCCGGCATCCCGCCAAGGGCGTCAGGCTTCAGGTCGAGCAGCTTGGTCATCACCTCCCGATTACCACAACCGCGGTGCTGCTTGCGCTGCTCGTTGATGTAGTCCACAAGGGTTTGTTCGGCGTCGACTGTCGAAGCTTTCCCTCCGCTGTGAACCTGCTTGGCCTCCGAAAGCTTGGGGTTGGCGCTGACCTTCTCCCTGAGCTGCTCCTCCTGCTTCAGCCACTCGATGATACGTTACTCGATGATACGTTTCCGAGGCACCTGGAGAACTTTCGCCGCGCCGTTGTTTCCCACCGGTTGACCGTCGCACGGGCAGATCTCCCGTGTGTAGGCCGCCGCGTTCAGTTTGAACCAGATGGGGTAGCTCCCTTTCCCTCCCACTGCTCCTGACCGCTCGATCGGGAAGTTGGGCTCCGGGTACGCGCGTTTGCCATTGCTGTTTTTGACGGGGTCGTTGGCGGCTAGCATCTCATCGATAGCCTCGCCGGTTGCCTTCGGGTCCGCAGCGGCAGCTCCCTGATCCGCAGAGGAAGGACCGCCAGCACTAGCCTGTGAGGCCTGTGAGGCCTGTGAGGCGTCGGCAGGTTCCGCGCTTGTACCCTCCGACATCGTAGCCGCGCGTTGCGTGTGGTCGAGCCCGCAGCTCCGTCCCGGGCATTTGCCCGATTTTCCGCCGGTGTTTCTCCTCCACGGACCTGTTTGTGGTGTCAATTCCCCGAGGCTCGTTTGTGTGTGCAGCTACTAGCTTGTCTGTTGGTTGTGTTGCGATCGTGTTGCAGCAATACCATACACGCGAAGTGCTGCTATCCCCTGTGGTTTTCAATGTTAGGATCGCACATATCGGGGTCTTGGCGCAGGGGTGTGCGTTCGAAAGTCGCCGTACCAACCGCTTTGGATTTAACAGCACCGCACATATCGGGGTCTTGGCACAGGGGTGTGCGTTGTTTCTTAGAGCCAAAATATTTACTGCATTTGCGCACAGGTATCGCGAACTTGGCACATATCGGGGTCTTCGCACACCTGTGCGAAAAAAGTCTGAAGTTCGAAACATTTAAAAAAGCGACCGCACAGTGTGCCAAGACCCCGATGATTACGGTAATTCTGCTATAGTCTATACCCCACCTTACCTTCTGGCGTGCCCTGTACACAGGACCCGGTAACTCCCAACAGGTCCCCAAAATCCGGGAACCCAGAATACCGGGACACGAACCCCTCGGGAAAAATTCGATGGCTTCAATAAAACGCGGTTTGCACCGTCTACAGTGGTACGTCTGAAAAACTCCTGCTCTTCATGGACGATATCCCCCTCCTCACTATCGCCCCGTTGTTGTGTCCTCTCTTGGGTTCCATGTGTGCAATAACAACGCCGTTCATCCACGCATGTACATTATATGTTGTAGGGCGGAACGCCTTACCTGGGAACCAACGACCAGGCCGTCTTGTTCGGCGAGCTCTCTTCGCTGAGACGAGAGAAGGCCCTGCTCAGAGAGAAGGACTTACGGTTACAGGAGCGAACGAACCTCTTGCTAACGATGACGAGGACGGCTCGCGGCGAGGACGGCAGCAGCAGTAACGGCGAACAACCCCCTGCCAAGGATTCAGGTGCGGACCAAGAGCAGCTGAGTAGCTGCGTACGGCCAGACACGCCGGCCCCTTCTTCGCCACAACTTATGCTCGGATGTGTGAGGTCGATCCTCGCCCCCCGCGCTCTACTTTTCCGAGTTGTGGGACGCGTAAGAGGACCGCCTACGCAGGATTTCAAGAGTATCTCGGTAAGTAGTAGGGGGGGGTCACGCCGACCCCATCCCTACCCCTAACCCTAACCCCAAAGCACGGATTGAATATTTTTTCCCATATGCTTGTTTAATCAATTTGCTGCGTAGACTACTGGCGTAGGACGACCTACCCACTGCGAGCCGCGCGTGATCAATTTTGGTGGTGATGCCCTACCAAAGACTATTGAAAAAGAAACGCGGGTACCATCCCCCCCGGAATACCTCACGGCGCTTCGCGCTTGGTGATGCTGTAGCCTGGTCCGGTGATAGTCCGGCGTACTCCTTCCCGGCTTTGTAGGGATGCGAGGTCAATGGTCTAACGACTACGGCATGCACGACTACCGTATGAGTATCCCCCCCCCCCCTCATGCGAACCCCCCCAATGTTTGCCGTCGGGGTAGGGTTTTTGTCGCTTAGCAACGACGTTGTAAACAAGCCGATTGCTTCGTGAACTCGACGACCAGGATATGTTTTTCTTTTTTTTTTTGTGCGGTAACCATCATGGTGGTCGAGCAGATTATGTTGTGCGGGGTCGAGAACGGTCACTCCGCGCAAAGGGGATGATCGTACCACGTTGTGTTAAAATGGTCAAGCACCTTCGAGGCAGTTACACAGCAGTGCATATAAGTGTCACTGGAAAAAGCACCAGAAAATAAATCAGTTCATTCGCAGCTGTCATCCGTTGCTAGGAAGTAAGCACAGGATTCCCAACACCCTTAGCAGGATGCGGGCGCCCTACATGCGACTCGCCGCATACCTCACGGCGCTTCGCGCTTGGTGATGTCATAGCCTGGTCCGGTGAGAACCCGGCGGACTTCGTTCCGGCTTTGGAGGGATGCGAGGTCAAATGTCTATCGACAACGACATGCACGGCTACAGTATGAGTACCCCTCCCCCCCTCCCTGGCTGCCTCCGACTGGTTCATCCTTGCGGAACGCTTGTAGTCGGGGCCGGCGAAAACCCGCCTTATCGCTCCGTCCCGGCAGCATTGTAGGGATGCGAGGTCAATGATCTACCGACTACGGCATGTGTTTGCATGAGTACCCCCCCCCCCCCCCCCCCCCCCCCCCCCCCCCNCCCGGGCCCCCCCGGGGTCCCCGCCGACTGCTTTCGGAACATATTGTGGCGTGTAGAGGCCGAAGACGAACGAATTCTCCAGCGCGTGGACTCCTTCAGCATACTGATCGTGGTAAGCACGCTCGTCACGGGCTTCAGCATCCCGTCCATCGAACAGGCGCAGCTCGGCATCACGAGGTCGATCATGACCCTGGTCTTCGCTCTCGAGGTATGGATGCACCACCATCGGCGATGTTTCCCCACAGAACGGGCCTGCAGATTATAAAGAAACGTCAAAATCGGGGTCGAGGTTAAGTTATTTTTTTGCTGTGTATAGCACGGGTTGTATAGATTTAGTGTAGGTTCCACCGCTGAGCTATGTTTCTTGACATTTTTTTCCTTTTGCTCGTAAATATTTGTAGCCCTCCGTTTCTTCACAAAATATCTCTTAGCTGCGGGGCTGTTCTGCTGTGTACACCGTACGGCTGCATTCTGTGTGTGTCCTTGCTTGACAGTCGCCCTTGTCTCTGAAGGGTTGGTCGTTGGGATTGCTAATGTGTGTCCTCCTTGACAGCCCCCCTTATATTTTGACGGGGGTCGTCGTTAGAATTCCCTTGTGCGCATCCACGCGTGCCAGCTCCTTGCCGTGTCCATAAAAAGCTCTTGACTCGATGCGTGCATGACAACTTCGATCCCCGATGCCCAACGTCGAACGTGACAAACACGTTCACACCTCGCAGCCACGCTCTGCTGCAAGACTCGGTGGTGCTTGCCAAGCAGAAGGTTGGAGCTGCTGCTTGGGATCGAGGACGGCAGGCGTTATCTTGTCGCCGACGTTTACCGTTGGCGATTGCGATAGATACCGCTGGTCTCTGCTTCGGCTTGGATTTTCAGGATGTTGGTAGGCTTCCCACTATGAACACCTGAAGGAAAAAACCTTCTGTGCAATCCGACCCCCCCTCCGGCTCCGTCCTGTCGAGGACGCGTGGTCAATGGTCCCAACCGCTAATGCATGCGAAACACGAGAGTACGTTCATCTCCTCGTTGCGTGTATCTCCTGCGGCCCCCCTTGCCCAGATGTTCGCCACGATCTTCTTCTCCATCATTAGTTTCTACGCGAAGCAGGCCTTCAACTATGGCTCGACCAACAACCATCGCACCGCGAGGTTCATGTACCACGTTCGATGGATCACCTTCAGCTCGCAGGTAAGAACGTAGAGGGTAGAGGTAGGTGTGAGAGACCGGCTGCGTGCGTCTAAGAACCACGGTTTCAACTGTTGCGTGTTTTCCGGTGTTGAGCGCGACAATTGCGTCATGACAGGTCGGTCTAATTGTAGGTGAACGCTTGCTTCTGAATGATTCCAGCTTTGCCATTTGAGAGGCATCATGATCGTGAAGCCAGTCCTTTTTCGTGTCTTGCACCACCTTTCTTTGCCCCGGGTTGAGCGAGCTGTAGTACCTTCCTACTTACACCTTTCGTAAACCTCTACACGCACCTATCGGTAACTGCTCACCACACGCGCCAACCATTAAATTTCATCACGTCCGGCCGCGCTTTCTCTCTGCACACACGCGTGCTTCAATTGGACCGATCACCGCCCTTCAACGCCCTCCCTCTCACGTGTCGCCGCACCGCATGGTTGCGGAAATGTGAATGCTACTGCTGCAGGCGTGCTACACGATCGGTATCCTCCTGTTCGTAGTGGGCATCCTCCTGGAGGCCACCATCGGCTACGACACGTACTGGGCGCTCGCGGGGGTGGGTCCCGTCGTTATCCTGAGTGAGTCAAAGTTAAAGGAGGGTGAAAGGGAAGGGTACCCCCCCCCCCCCCCCCCCCCCCCCCCCCCCCCC